ATATATAATTTTTGTGATACAAGTAACAAACATTTTTAAAGAAAGATATATATAAATTTACATTTGAGCGTTATATATACGTACATAATCTTATCTACAATTGTAAAAGTTTAAAATCGTTAATATTTCAATAAATTAAACTTTTTACATAGTACAAATATTATTATTATTATTAAAAGTTACTTCCTCTTGTATTCTATAATGTAATTCTCAAATTCTCATTTGCATTCTTTTTACACTTTCTATACTTTCTTCGAAATCTAAAGGCCAAACCGGGGACGGATTTGCATAAACATACCGCGTGAATAAATCGTGATTTATCAATATAAAACGGTGATCTCTTTCTAATTTGTTCATCCATACAATTTGCAGCGCATTCGCTAGTTATCTTGTTTATTTCAGTGATGAAATAATGATTGAGCGTGCGGAGAACGGTAATCGAGAAAGAAAAATAGACTCATCGTAGTCGTCATCGGTGTTGGTCAGTGTGGATGTGGTTTATCGATAAATTACGAGAACACAGCCGACGGCGACGGCGACGTCACGGCGCGGACGCGCGATCGCTTGTATGGTGCGCATGTTCGGCGACGGTCACGTGACCAATCCCACTCCCACGATCGCCCCCACCGTTATTCGACGGCGCCGTTTACGGTAGGAAATTCCAAGAATTTCCACCCGTATCGGTTCATTCCGTCGTCAACCGCGTCGACCGACGGTGCCCGACGGCCTGTGATGTACGCGGCCGAGAGGACGGCCGAGGGAGCGGATTGGAGCGGAAGCGGCGGTAGGAGGATTTCTTCGGGGTGTAACTTTCGGGAGAAGGGACAGGCAAGCAGGTCCCGAACGAGCGTTATTGATGGCAACGTGGGTGTGAGTCTGATTGCACGCAATAATTACTTCTTTCCGCGATTATTGCGCGGCCAGTGCGGATTATAGTTGTCGCATCGCGCGTCTGCGATACGTTCAAGGTCGCCGGCGCGAAACAACAACGAAGAAAGCCGAGCTGCGATAGCAGCGGTGGCGGCGGTGGCGGCGGCGGCGACGACGGCGACGACGACGACGACGACGACGACGACGGCGGCGACGGCGACGATTACGCCGTGTCTATTGCGTCGTATAAACGTCTTCGCCGAAAAACATCTGTTTTCAAAAACGAGGGAGTAGCAGAACCGACCAGTACCAAGTGAGTTTCATCGAATTTCGGAGCGGTCTTCGTTCGCTCTTTGCCCGCTATTCGCTCTGCTCCTTCCCCCCTTCCTTTTTCTGTCCCTCTTTCTCCTACCCTCCTTCTGCGTTCTTATCTATTTGCGCGTTACATCGCGCGATACACTTTTTTTCTCCTTTTCCTCGACGATAAAGCTTTTTTTCGCGAGATGTTTTTCAAGGACTTTATCGCCAACTTTTTTTTTTTACTTTGGAGCAAACTTTCGTTTCCGTACGAATCTCGCGCGCGCGCGGCGTTCTTTATTCTTTCGAAGTTCCAACGTGCGACGTCTTCTCCTCAGCGAACGAGCTCGCTCGATCGCGACAAATTGTCACAGACGATAAAAATAAATCGGCGAAATCGCTCCCTTTTTTTTTCCTCTTTTTTTAAATTAGACGTATAATTATCACGATGCCGCGGAGGACAAAGACGTATTTCGAGATACCTTGAAGTCGATTATACAGGGTGATTACAAGGATTTTCAGTATCTTCTGATCGAATTTAGCAATGATCATAGTCCTCGATGATCTGAATAATAACGGATTATATAATGTATCACGTATTTATTCGAATACCGGGATTCTGAAACTTTCCGTGCGACTGCAATGCGAAGGGAACATTTGCGAGATCTATTTATAATGATATTCTTTTATCGGTACAACTCGTTGAGATTTAGCGACGAGATGCTATCGATCGTTTTTGAAACTTTTTATTTTGTATATTAAGCCCAGGTTCCATCATGTAAAATTACCTTCGAGATTAATTTCAATCTCTAATTTACTCTTTATCTGCTTTTTCTAATTTTAAGAATTAGGAAATGATAAACAGTAAGTTAAACCAAGATTAACTTTAATCTCGATTTAACTTACTCTTTATTCTTTTCTCATTCTTATGTCTGTTTCTATCAATGTAGTTTAATTTTAGTGTTTTAGTTTAGTCTTGGTTAATTAACCCTTCATCTTTTATTTTATTTTAAGAATTAAAAAAAGATAAAGAGTAAATTGAACCGAGATTAAAAGTCCTAAAGTTAATCTACATTAAAGGTAGAAATGGTCATCAAAGAATGATTTCGATCAAATTCCAATTAACTTAATCAGCAATCAACAAATATATAAAAAATTTCAGATCTGCGAAATATATAAAATAATTTTGCAGAATTATCTATCTATGTAAAAATTTTCTATGTAAAAAAATTATCTATGTAAAAATTTTTAGCTTAAAATTTTGTCGTCTATAATGTAAATAATCTTTTTTGTCTGAACAAAGAATTAATCAATGATATAGAAACGGCAGAATTGCCTACTGCAAAATTTCTGTTTTATCGTTTAAATAATAAGTGTCTAGTTGTTTTATTGCCCTCAGTTTAAATAGTCTCTTCTTTTTATAAATAAAAACTTAGCGATTTCATATTAATAAAATACTATTAATTGATTGGTTTAATTTGTCAAATAATATCCGTAATAATTTATCAATACGAAATAAAATGAAAAACTTTTTGTCTGGCACATAAGAAGAAAGATTAGATTAATGACGATGAATCGTGCAATTGGAATTTCTGTTGTAAGTGATTCTGTCGAGTTGAATTAAAATCGCCGGTTAAATTGATTTAAATTTTTGGTCAAAGTCACCCTTAAGTATCGACCATTGAGATGGAATATCTGAATATATAATGTAACAGACATTTTCTTTAAATTAGAAAAATTACAATCTCGCAAAATGGCGCTGTGGTTGAAAGCACAGCAGCTGTCGCAAGATTCTTTGCAAAAGGTGCGCAACATTTATGGAGAACACTTCCCGATTGAAGTGAGACATTTCTTGTCATCATGGATCGAAGAGAAAATGTGGTAAGCATAATGTATAAAGCACAGTTCATTTTCCGAATTTCTTATTTATACATACGTTTATATAATGTATAAATAAGACATTCTCATTGAAAAACTGCTGTAAAAACTGCCTTAAATTTATTATATATTTATTAGTATATCTCAAACTCTTTGATACATTCTCTTTTTTCTATCTCCAGAAAATATGTTTTAAATCTATTCTTGAATAAATTAAACAATATTATCAGGGTTGCTACAAGTCTAGAAAATCGTGAAAACTCAGGAAAAGTCAAGGAATTTATCATCAAAGAAAAGTCGCAAATAAGTGAGTGTCACACTTGCATGGATTCTTTGGTTTGTAAGAACTGATTCAGAGAGAGTTTAAATTTTAATAATTTTTTCTTCTTTTTTTAAATTTTTTAAAATAATATTTGTAATATGTACCTTTAGCTGTTCCAAATATATCGGCAAAAATCAATATTTTTTGCAAAACTTATAAGTACGCAAAATTTTTTAATTCCTAATTTCTCGAAAATCATTATGTATTTAATGTAAGGATAATATTTTCATTAAAAAAAAAAATC